CTGAACCTGGGGAGGCAAGGGAGGCAGAGCCAAGTTTGCATTCCATGTGTGCAAACAGAAGGCACAGAGCACTCCCCCTCCCCCTCCCCTCGATGGCCTGCTGAGTATTGTAGGTTAGAATAACTCTGCTGGTTTCCCAACTGGAAAACTGAGAGGGAGGAAGATTGCACAAACAAGCTGCAACTCCAAAGCTTGACCCTACACGCCTGCCTCTCTCTGGACCCAGAAAATGGTTTATAAATCAGACAAGCAGAGAGAATTTTTAAGCAGGTGCACTCAACTTCAGTCAGCAGTTTCACCTGCTGGAGCTCAGTGGGGACAGTGCTGGACTGACTTCCAGAAGCCTCCAGGAGGACTAGCAAGGAGAGGACTGCCAAAAGGAGAGAGCGATTTTTGGTGTGTGCAGAGAGTTATCAAAATCCAAGAGTAACCAGAAACACTGAGATAGTTAGAGGAAAGGGGGAGGGAGATGTAAAGGAAAAAATCATTCTGACATGGTATTGTAGAATGGTAAGGAAGATTTTATAGCAGGATTATTGCAATACATGTAAAGGCTATGGCAATAAGGGACAGAGACTGAGCTCAACTCAGAATACAACAAAGATAGCCTCAGGCAGAGTGAGGGTCAGTGGGTAGAAAATTACCAAGAGGAGACAAGAAAGAGGGGAAGGTTTCTCGCTAAACCAACTTTGCCAGGATTCTTGCTGAAGGCAGGTCAGGGAATTCAATATCAAGGGTGGGGAATTCTCTCTAAACTGATGTCAGCAGGATTCTTGTGTTGACCTAAAAGGTAAACTGAGGCAAAGTAAATCAAGCAAAAGGGATCTATTTGGGCCAGGGTTGAGGACCAGGGTACTGCAATATTCAGGTCATGCTAGATTTGTGTACCAAGGTCTCACAGATTTCAGAATGATTTGAAAGACAAAACCCACAAGAGAGGAAGGGGTGACATCACTGTTTTGTGATTAGTAATGAGGGTGAGCTGATGCTGCCCTTTGTTACTGGTGTCATGGTTGGTATCAGTTGTTATCAGTTGGATAGGCCATTTCTGAGCAGATATATTTACAGAAGTAGTCCTTGTGTTGGGTTGCAATGGTCTTTGTGCAAGGTTGTGGTTCTGGTGTGAAAATTGCCCTTCTCCATCACCTTGTTCAACAGAAGTTGACACAAATGACTCCATTTTTATTCTAACAACTTTCATATTTGCTGAGACTAGGTGAGGTAGGTCCCCCAATGATGGAGACCATGGTTGAGGTTCTAGTAAAGAAGAGGGCTCAGAAGAGCCTGGCTAAAGTTTGTTCAAGGAGAAAGTGTCTTTGTCAGAGGAAAATGATTTCTTGAGCTACTTTGTCTAATTGGAAAAGAAGGAGAGAAAGATTCAAGAAGAGGAGGCTGTGGCCTCCAGGGAAAGGAATAGTGGGCAGAGGAACAACTGGGCATTGACTATGAGGAGAATACCATGGAGCCCTGGATTTCAGGTAAAATGGTCCCAAATATTTGCTTTGATGGCAGCCCACTGTGTGGATGAGAACATTGACTCTAGGAGCAGAGAATTCCCAGGAAGCTGAAGGGATCAGAACTCCTTTGGAGCTGATTCTCCAAAAATGAAACCTTTCCAACAATTTCTATGGAGCAATATGACAGTAAAAGGAAACAGAAAGAAAATAAGATTAAGACTAGCACAGAAAGAGCAGGCACTTTTTTAATGAGAGCTCATATCCTCATCAGCTTACAGCAAAAGCTCGATTCCTCTCTCTCAGCCATCCCCTACTCCTCACTTTCCCAGCACCAGCACCTCCTCCCATCTCACTTCTCAGCTGCTATAATCCAGATACTCTGGGCCCAGAAGTCCCAGTTCCTGACTAAGCCCTGTCTCACTCTCCCTCCAGGTCTGCTGGCAGAAAAGGACAGCAATTACTGTCTCTGCAGGACACCCTGCAACCTGACCCGCTACAACAAAGAACTCTCCATGGTGAAGATCCCCAGCAAGACATCAGCCAAGTACCTAGAGAAGAAATTTAACAAATCAGAAAAATATATCTCGTAAGCTAAATGTGCATGGTAGGTGGGGAGGAAAAGGGAAGTGGATCAGGAGGAAATTGGAGCAATTGAGGAAGAGATCAAAAGTAAGCAGTCACCTCAATTTAACAGTCACTTGTTACATACCAATCTCTGTGCTCAGGGCACTCAGAATACAAAGACAAAGATGAGTAAGACCCAGCCCCCACCCTTAAGGGGCTTAAAGTCTTATGTATATGCATATAGTACTGGTAAGAAAGAGGGTTACATTAGCCACAGCTTGTATGGGAGTGAAATCAAAAAAGCTTCAGAGAGGATACGTAGGAGAAATACAACTACTATATGATCTAACAATTCCACTCCTGGGTATCTACCCAAAGGATAGGAGAATTCTCAGTCAGAAAAGTGCTTGCACATCTGTTTATTGTGGCATTATTCATGATTGCTAAGACATGGAACCAACCCAAATGTCCATGAACAGATGAATGCACTGAAAAAGTGTGGCACATATACTTCATGGAATACTATTCAGTCATAAAAAATTTAAAAATTAAAAAAAAAAAATAACAAGACTCTGGCATTTGGTAGAAAGTGGGTGAATGTAAGTCAGACTATGAAAGAGAGACATTGTATGTCTCCCCTTAACATATACCAACTGTCCACACTCTATGGTAGAGACTAAAAGATTGGAAGACATAAAAGCATTAAAAATAGTTATGGACACTGGAAACAGTGCGGAAGGAGGGTGGGAGAGGGGAAGAGTATAGGGAAGGAAATTAGAAAAAATAGAGTGGGAAGACATTTGTGGGACACAGAAATGGCTTATTACCTATTGATAATAATGTGTATAGTATTCTCAGCTGAACTGATCTGAGGTGTATTTCATGTTGGATAAATTCTCTTTACAAGCTGAATGATGTATAGTGATTGAATGTACAATAATAATAATAATAATAAATTTTTTTAAAAGGATGTGAAGGAGTTTCCCAGATAGACTTTGCACATTCTGTTCCCTCTGCCTAGAATGTTTTTTTCCCTTTACCTAACTGACTCCTTGTTGTTCAGTGCTTCATTTACATGTCATCTCCTCAAGTGCCCATATTTTAATAGAATTATTTGAGGTTTGAGGGCCAGATTCATGACATACTAGTTAAGGTAGCTGTATACTACATGGCTAATGATGTAGTTTGAGTTCTGAACCCAGTGGCTTGAGAAACAATGGATGTGTGTGTGTGTGTGTGTGTGTGTGCATGCCCAAATTTGAAAGGATGGAGAAATGGAGGGGAAAGGATTACAGAGTGACCATTCCCCATGAAGAGTGCTTTCTCCTCTCCCTCTCTGTGTCTCTGTCTCTCTATAGAAAGTGTGCATATACTCTAGCACAAAAATTAAAGATTATTTGAATTTTTGCTGGTAATTTGAGTTCCTTTCATATTCTGGTTATTAATCCCTTGTTGGATGTATAGTTTGAAAATATTTTCTTTCTGTAGATTTTCTCTTCACTCTGTTGGTTGTTTCCTTTGCTGAGCAGACCCTTTTTAGCTGATATAATCCCATTTGTCTATTTTTGCTTCTGTTGTTAGAAGAAAAGATTTTGAGTGTTCACAACACAAAATAATGATAAGATTACTTTTGAGGTGGTGAATGTTTTTATTCTTGATTCAATCATTACATACTATATGAACTATTGAAAAATCCCACTATACCTCATATATATGTGCAACTATATGTCAATTAAAGATTATTAAAATTTGGGGGAACCAGCAGTTAGGGTAATGGCTATGTCGCTGGACTCCC